GGGGCACGGCCAGCGGGGACCGGCCCCAGGGCACCGGGCGATGTGTGCAGCACGGCGGGCTGCACCTGGGGCTGCAGGGTTCACCCCTCTCTTCCCCCTGCAGTCCCTGATGGATGCGCAGAACTCGCGAATCGAGGAGCTCTTGCAGAAGATCAAGCAGCAGCAGTACAAGCTGGACAAGCAGAATCTGCAGATCAAAAGCTTGCAGAGCAAGGTGAGCTCCTGCCTGGCTCTGCAGCGTGGTGGCCATGGGGCTGGGGGACAACAGCCCTGTCCTGTATGCTGTGGGCTCCTGGGATCCCAGCCCGATCCAGTTTCTCACAGCCCAGCTGATGCACTCCGGCTCTGATGGCAGAAGCAGCCACAGTGCTGCTGTTACCTGACTTCAAGGACTCAGCAAAAGGCATTGCCCTCAGTGCCTTGTGCAGTCCGTGTGCTAAAGTGTTGATGCAAGGGTAGCAAAAGGCCAAAAGTGGGAGCTTCTTGAGGGTTTGGATAGTGAAATATGAGAAATTACACTGTGTGGGAACTGAGCCTCTCTGGGTTATTGTCTTTTGGTTTATCCATAGAATAAACTCATTTGCATGGGTGTGAAAAACCACAGTCGTTCCTAGTTTTGCCAGCCTCCTACTCCATGAGCTTTCTGGGCAATTTCAGCCTTAGCTCTGGTCTGAGCCCAGTAGCATCACCGTGGTCATGGGGGAGCAGGTGAAGCTTCAGCCAATCAGCTCCCCTGAGTTGAAAATTAGCTGAGCTAGAACTGTTCTGACTTGCTCTATTTTTTACCTCAGGTCAATCTACTGATCCCTTTACATCTGAAGGACAACAAAACTCAGTCTCCAAAGTGGAAGATTAACCTGAAGAAAAGCGTCAGCCACACCAACCAAAGCCAGAATGCTAGTGTGGAGACTGTGCTGCCACAGAGTGAGTATCTGCACATGCCACCCTGCTTTTCCTTGCTGGATCAAACCAGCAGCAATTTCAACAGTTCAGGAACAAAAGGTTCTGTTGTCCTGTTTCAGGATGTGAGATTTGCTTGCAAGTCTAGGGCTTGGGAGTGTGGCCAGAACTGGGGAGATCTGGAGCATGGGCAGGATCAAGCCTTCTGGATCAGTATTAGTCCAGTGGGAATTTAAGGATTTAAGAGGGATTTTTCTGCCTGACATTAAGAATGCAGTCGAAAACAAAGAAATTCTGCTAGGGGGTGTTTGTCGAAGAAGACTTGGGACTGGCAGGTGTGCGGGGGTTGAATGGTGGGAGGAAAGGAGAGTCTCTGCTCTCTGGAGACAGGTCTTGTCCTTGTCTTTTGCCAGACAAAAACTGTTTCTCAATCTGTGCCCTTCTGGAGGAGGGGAAGGGTATGCTGGACCATGAGCAGATAGCTAGCTCCTAGTGCATCCATCTCCCTTGGTGCATGTTTGGGTCCTGTACCTGGGGAGACAAGTGTCTCAGCTCTCCCTGTCCTTGGAGAAGGATGCTTGGCAAATACCAGGAGAGTGAAGGCATGGAGACTTGCAATCCTGGGAAACCTGTGCCAGAGCAGGAAAGTCAATATTTGCATCTGGAGCCCCTGGCTCTGACTGGAGCATCCTCTTTGTTGGCAATTGGGATGGAGAAGCTTCTGTAGAATGAAAGGGAAGCGGAGCAGCCAGGAGCGAGCGGCTCCGTGGTTGTCCCCAGCTGTGCTATGCCCTGCCGCCTCCCTACCAGACAGGAACTTGCATTCCCGCAGGGTTCGCTGTCATGTTATGTCAGCTAAATCACAGCGCTGGCTCCAGTGACCAGGGAAGCGTCTGTGCAGCTGTCTGGGGATGTCCAGTTCGAGCCAAACAGAAACTGAGTAGGGTGAGGATGCGCGGGGAAATCCTGCTCAGGGCTTAAGTCAGGGATAGCTACAGGGAAACACACAGTCATTTGTATGTGCTGCCTAGAGCTGTCATCGGGGTGCCTGAAAGCTGGGTTGACAGAGCAAAGAACCAGAGTCAATGCAGATAAGGAGAGAGGTGGAACACAGTGCTCCAAAATCCTCCTGGCGCTCAGCTTGGTGGGGCTGGCCAGCCCTCAGCGGGGCTGCAGTGAGATTTCTGTAGGCCCGAGCAGTGTCTAGCAAGCTGGAAAACTGTCTCAAAATGGTTTCTCCCCAAGTTTCTCCCAGCTGTTTCCCTTGTGACTTGCCGTCAGCAGTATCTGCTGCTCCTCTCTCAGGTCTGCGTTATGCTGAAAGCTGTGCACATTGGATGTGGGCTAGGGTCTTTGCTATTTAGTGCGACTGGTGTCGAGCCCAGGCTGTGCTGGCTGCTCTGTGCTGGCTGATGGGGCACTTGGTGCAGCCCTTGCGAAGCACAGTTGGACACAGCAAGCGGCTGCAGAGGGAGGGTGCAAGTTCTTGGTACCTTCCCATGCTGCACTGTCTCTGTGCCATGTGGGCCCATCTGATGGGCAATGCCAAGCTTCCCCAGCGAGCTGGGCCGTCCTTGCTCCCTGGAATCAGCGCTTCCGCCCTGTTAGGCCAAGCTGTGAGCTCCCCCTCTCTTGCCTAATCCCTGATGTTTGTATCACTGAAAGGAAACAAATTGGCTTCCTCTCATTACCAAGTTGAGTGAGTTTTCTGGCAAGTCTTAAAGCACAAAATATGTGTCCGGCCAGCCCCGTGCCCTCTGCCTGGGAGGCTTGCTGGCTGCATTCATAACAGGCAATAGTGGGGAAGGCTTGGGCCTGAGGCTGCTCCCTGCCTATTGTCAGGCAGACCCACAATGCTGGCACGGCCCTGGGGAACAGCAATGAACTCCACCAGCAGCCTTTTCAGAAAGACCCTTTTATTTGCATCCAGTGAACACAAGTTTTCAGGCCAGAGATGGCACGAGGCCAAGCATGTGAAAGTTGAAGGCTTGAAGCAGCCTCGAGAGCGAAAGGTTTAATCACTTGCAGAAAGAGGATCACGTCTTTAGGCAGAGCCTGCTCTGTCTGGCAGCTGGCCGAGTAGGCGAAAGGTAAAACCCCGCTCTCCCCATGGCGCTGGGACTCTCCAAAATAATTGGGTTGGGGAGGGTGAGGAGGAGGCGATGCAAACAGTTCCTGGGGGGAGGAAGTAAGCTGCAACTAGGAACGCCCTGCTGTCCTCAAGGAACGGTGTTTATCCCAGGTTGGTGACCTTTGCGTCATGCCTGGAGATCCTGTTCAGTAAATACGGTGCCATGCCTGGGGCAGCTCCAGCAAGCCTTGTTGATTTGAACTCTTGTTTGGCTAAATAAAGGGGGAGGGGAAGAAAAACATCCCGAGCTGCCATGAGCTCTTGTTGTTCTGCTGGTGCCATACGGATGTGCAACATGAACTGGAACTAACGAGTGTGTTCCTCAAACAAAAAGATTGAGTGGAGGCTGTTCAAGCAGCTGCATCTCATTCAGCTGCTTGAAAGTCCCTGCTACACCGGGAAAACATAAGAGATAAGAGCAGTGAGTTTGGCCAGAGCCCAGGGGAAAAAAAACAACCAGGAATGGGGCTGACTTCTGCTGGAGCCACGTGGCGTACCTGTGCATCAGCAAGGGTGCACGGGCACCGTCCCAGCAGCTGCAGAGAGATGAGGTGGAAGCAGAGGGGAAGCGCTCTGAGAAAGGAGGCTCCGACCTCCGGCAGGCCGAGGCAGGCAGTGTTGCTGGGCTCACTGGTACCAGGACCCTCCTAGATGTCCGCCCTGCCTTGCTCTGTGAGCTGGGATTTCTCCAGCCGTGGAGTCAGGTCTTGTTGGCAGCTATCACCAAGGTGTTTTTCCTTCCTCCAGGCTCCCTTTGGCTTGCCTGAGCATGCTTGCTTAGAGAGTAAGGATATTGGTGATACGTTTGTTTGTCTCTTGGGCTTCTTGGTGGCTTTGTGCGTCTTGTTCCTTCAGGCAAAATGCCCACCCTGGGTCCACGCGTGGGCTGGCTTGGGTGAAGACACTGGGCCAGCTGCTTGTCGCACGGCTGCCCGGCTTGCAGGTGCTGGAGCCAATTGCTTTGGTGGCACCTAGTCCTGCATTTGCACTGGCCCGGTGGGTGCCAGGCCTGCTGATGGCCGGACGTGAGCCCGCGCAGGCGGAGCGGTGCCCCAGAGGTAGGCTGGGAGCGCATCAAGGCGCGCTGCTTGGCCGTACGGTTTGCGCCACCCACCGCCTGCGGCGCGGCGGGAAGGTGGCTGGCCTCG